TGCTTATATATTAAAAAAAAAAAAAAAAAAAAAAAAAAAAAAAACTAATCAATGAGTTCTTTAGGTTTAATAGAATTTTTCTCTTCTCTTACAAATAACATTAACAAATGCAATAAAATCATATTATAGTGAATTAAAGAGATTAATAATTTCTTATTACAAGTTAATAGATAGTATTTTTTACATAATTTTGTATTATATATTATTTGATATTGGTAGGATTCTGCAATTTGATTTGATTTGATCAAATAATTGAATTCAAATCAAATTAAATCAAGTTCAAATATAATCAAATTTGATTTAATTTGATAAATATTTAATTTAATTTGAAAATTTATAATTGAATGTTTAAAATTATAAATTATTTACTAGAAATTTATTAAAACAAATGACTTTTTTATTCATGAAACTAGAGGTATTTTGTTTAGAAAAACATTTTTACTTAAGAGCTCAAGGTCGATTAACATAGTACAATTTTTTATAAATTAAAATTTGTCTTTCTGATCAATATTTTAAAATTTTTCCAAATAATGGTAACTTACACGTTGTTTTAAAAGATCACTGTCTCCAAAATTATAAAACTTTTTCAAACTCTTATCATCTTCCACTCGCGTTAATGATCTATTGAGAGTCTCTACGAAATCATCGATCTCATTTTCTCGATTATCTGTTCATTCACCCGCCTCAACCCTCTTATATAAAGCAGTGAAAATGGTAATAGCGGAAATAGGTTCGAATTCAACAAGAAAAAATTTCCATTTTTGAGTCGAAAATTAAAAGATGTAATTTGATAGTAAAATTATACGAGATTTATATGTAGCAAGAATTTAAAAAATCACTAATAAGCGAAAAGGGTATTCTTATGTCAAGAAGATCCCCGAAGGACAAATAAATTTTTAGGATCATATTAACGTGACATGAACAGAAAGATTTAAAGCAAACGTTCGTTTTGTCAAAGTTGTTTATATTGTCAAAATTTTTCCAAACGATTCACCATCTTGTTAATTCTAACTTAAATGCGAATGTTAGTCTTTATAGCAATGAGTTTTAAAGAATTTGCATTACTTGGATGTGTGCCAGGTTCGTGGTGCAGCAAAAATTCTTTAAACCTTGTTTATGTTAGGGTTAGGGTCAACTTTAGGAGTAGTTTATACAGTAAATAAGTAATTTTTGACAAAATGAAGGTTTGTTTTGATCGTGTTAAGTTCCAGTTACAACAAATGATGGAAATAATCATGTGATCGCAAACCTTTTCTATTATCTCTTGTTTTAAATCATAATTGAAACTTGTTTATTAAACAAAAACTTTTTTATGGTAAAGTTAGTTGTTTTCTTAACAGCAACCTACATGATTTTATATAAGTAGACTACGATCGTTGACAAATATATAATTATGTACGTTCTACATAATCATATATTTAGGGGTTTTTTTAAAGATTTTCGCGCTTATCTAAAATGGCAGTAAATTTTTTTGAAAAACTTTCAAATAATTATCTTGAACTTCTTGATGATAAAGAAGATTTTAATATAGTTATTACTGTTGGTGAATCTCCAAACACAAAAATATTCCAAGCACATTCGGCAATTTTAAGATACAGATCTTTATATTTTCGTAATGAATTGGCTAACATTAATAAAGATAAAAACAACATGAAAACACTTGATTTAAAAAATGTTTCTATACAACAATTTGAAATTATTATCAAGCAAGTTATTTTATATTATTTATTTATAATATCTGCTAAGTTGCAAGACAAAAGTCTAAATTTTACTTAAATTTATATAAAGATATATCTACGGAGGAGTAATCTTACTTGAAAACCATAATGCATCATTTATTTTTGAGCTTATGCTTATTGCTTATGAATTTCTTCTTGATGAATTAGCAAGATACCTTGAAACCCATTTAATTGAAGTAAAAGCCCATTGGCTTCGTTTACGTTTTACTTATATTTATCAAAAGAGTTTCGAGAATAATAAACTTCAAGAATTACAAAATTGGTGTAATAATATTGCGGTAAAATATCCTGATAAGATTTTTGATTCAAATGACTTCGTTTCTCTTCAAGAAAATGCGTTAGTCTCACTTATAAGTCGAGATGATTTACAAATGGAAGAAGTAAAAATTTGGAATCGTGTTATTGAATGGGGGACTGCTCAAAATCCCGGCTTACCATCAGATCCTGAAGACTGGACACATGAAAATTTTCTTGCTTTAAAGACCACATTACGAAATTGTTTGCCGCTTATCCGTTATTTCCAGATACCTGGTGATGATATTATTGATAATGTTCAACCATATCAACAAATCCTGGATAAAAACCTTTGGAAAGATGTAACAAACAAGTTTATATCACCAAATCGAAAAGTATCATCAATAATCCTCCCGCCCCGTGTAATTTTGACTTCAATATTACCGAATAGAACTACTGAACCATTTTCAACAGTTATTAATGAAACTCATGCGGCAGAAATTACTTCATGGGTTGATAAAAAGGCTGATGCATATTCTGCAACAAATAATCCATATGAATTTAAACTACTACTTCGCGGAACTAGAGATGGTTTTACTAAGGATTCATTTTGGGATTTATGTGATAAGCAAAGACATCTTGTTGTAGTTATGAAGGTCAAAGGTACTGATGAAATTCTTGGTGGATATAATCCTATTGGATGGGATAAACCAGATAGCAAGTGGTTTTATAAAAATTGCAATGATAGCTTTATTTTTTCATTAAAAAATGGTACTATTCAAAATTCTAATTTAAGTCGTGTAAAGAGACCAGAATCTACAATTTGTTGTCATTCAGGTTATGGACTAACTTTTGGTGGTGGCAGTGATTTACGTATGAGGGATAATTTTAATCAAGATCGCCAATGTTGGAGTCGTCAATGGTCATATGAAGAACGAATAAGAGAAGCATCTACATACGAAAGTTGTAATTATTCATATTTTTCGGTGGATGAATATGAAATATTCCAGATTAGTAAAAAAGTTATCTTTTTAGAGTAACGTCACAGTAAGAATTTAATGAACATTGATATGACGAATTAGAACATTAGGGAATAGAGTAAGCAGTTCGTCAGAGACGTGACTAAAGTGATTTTGGATTTGTAATAGTTTATAATTATCTTTATGTGCTCCTTTGCACATAAGAGTCATATCGATAATTTATATCAATTATTGCATGGGACTCGAGTTAACTCGTAGCTTAAAAAACATAGCCTTACCTCGAGTTAATTCGAGTTAAGACCATGTTTTTTAAGCTACGAGGTTGATTCGAGTCCAAATACTGCATGCATAATTAATTATATTATTACGTGTATTGTCCACACACGTGTTTTGCAGCGAGCCTATTTAAGCCGACTCACTGCTTGTTGCTATTGAAGCCGATAAATATACGAATTTATGTTGATTGAATTGACCATATTGTTATGTGATAAATCAATGGTTTATTTTATTAATAATCTGTTTATGGCCAGTGACTTTTAATGACCATATTTGATATCGAGATGTTGCTCAAAGTATTACAATTAATTGAGGTTAATCGAAAAACGAATTGTTAAGAATTCATTGTTCGAAATGCAGATTTTAAATTTTAGCAAAAAAGTTGGCAACGTGAATGTGATAATATTCTATAAAAAACTTCGAGTTTAACTAATAATTAAATAAGAATTAGCAATTTGGTAATATGTAAAGTTATAAATTTGTTTGCGTAGCAAAGACATCGTGATTTGTACAACTTTGTGCTAAGAAATTCTGCGGGTGTTTCCTAACAAGGCTTTATCTGATACCGGGTTTTAAAAGAGAAAAAAATTTTACCGAAGCATTAATTTGATAAACTATGCTATCTAAAATCAGCGAGCATGGACCTGGTTTCGATTATTTCTTGAACACTCACTGTCAAGACTGGGATGCACTTCAATACCATGAAGCGTGGAAAGATGGTAATTTGGGTCTGGATAAGGCAGTTGTAACAAGAAATTTTTGCAAACAAATACAGAAGATAAAAAAATAGCACAGAAGAGGAAAGAGAAAATGCGATACGTACGAGCTATATAATAATTGCAGATTAGCAGGTCACATTCAGTAGCTACCCATGGAACTACATCTTCGCATGGTTACGAACTACGTCTCCGCTATTCGTGAAGCCAGGTTTTCATATGATTACGGACCACATCTTTGCTGTTGGCTACAGCTACCCATGGAATTACGTCTTCACATGGTTATGGACTACGTTTCCGCTGTAGCCAGCCTGTGACAATCCAATCACCTATTAATTTTTCGTTTTGATAACCTTGATACGCTAATATACGAAATTTATTTTTGCAAGATTGAATCTAGGAAGATGGAATATTTGTACTATTTCAGTTGCTATGAAACTTAATGATTAATCTTTTTTGATTTAGATGAAAAAAAGATTCACCTGATTCTTGAATAGATCTCTCAAAACTACTAGATGATGGCAAGAATAATGAGTGCAAGAGCAAAGCAATTACCATCAAATTAAATAGATTAAAAAGTGCTTAAATCTTAGCCAAGAAATAAGGTATACAATAAATTAAATATTTGATTTTTGATAATTTTTATATATCATAGAATATTGTAACTTTATAATTTTGATTTAGTGGGTTGTAGATACTATTAATATTCCAAGAAAGTTTAAAGAATACCAACTGCAGTTAATAAAAATGTAATAAAAAAAGGTAAAAATAACATATAATAACAAGTATAAAATCTTATAAGTATTTTAAAATCCATAATTTTATTAAAGCTGCTCGATACGATAGTATCGAGGCAGCTTTTGTCTCGAATCAGCCAATCTTCCCCAGTATCGCCGTCAAAATTTTCACTTTCACGTGACCACGTTTAAAAATCTTTAATTCGTTTAAGTTAGGGTTAGCGTTTATAATAGGGCTAGGTTTTAAGAAGATAATAGTAAAATTACTCGAGGAATTTTTTTTGTTAGAGCTCAAAAGGTGGTTTTTTATGCAAGTTTTTGAGGAATAAGCGATTTTTGAAAAGCGAACGTTTTGTTTTGATCTTCCTGATCGTGTAACGTTACATTAAAACGAAACACACTATTGGATGATCATCATGTGAAAGTGAAAATTTGACGCATGTGACATGTCCTATTACAGTCACATGATGATGTGGCTTAGTATTTTTGATCGTATTAGTAATGAATTAGACTAGTAAAATTATGTGGTAATAATTGTGTTTAATATTTGATCAGGGTACTTTTTTTCTCTGAAATTCAGAAATTCTAACGTCTAATTAGTTCTATTTAACTTCTTTTCAAAGACTAGTTCTTTGTTTGGCTTTACAAGTTTTAGCTCTATTTTATAGATCTGATCTTTACAGTAGTATTGTTAAAAGTTCAGGTTATCTCTTTATTTAGATCTTCTAAGTAAACTTATATTTTCTTGATTTTTGTAATTTACATGATTACAGAAACTTATTATAAATTCACATTGCTTGGTATCAGTTTGTATTTCTTTGTATAAGATACAATCATTGCACAAATGTTATGTAACCTTTCAGTTAGATTGATATAATACAGATAACAGATATCTAATTCCAACTAATAGCAGAAGACAGTTAATTATAATACAAAAAGAATTTTAAATTTTTATTAACACTGGGATTTGAATTCTAGACCTGTCACTTAGGGATTAACAATCTAACTATTTTACTAGGTTGCTATACTCTATTTGCAATTATCTTAAACCTTATATCTATAGTATTTATATTTATTTAAAAGATATTATAGTATTTAATATTTTTTAAAATAATATTAAGTATTATATTATCTCAAAATACTATTATCTATTGAAACTGTTCTCAAAACCAAACTCAAAACATAGTAGTTAACTAAATTTGACAAGTTTTTAATTTTAACTTCATTCTATTATCTTTTTTTTTCTAAATATAAACTTATTAATTTTTTTAACCACTTTAATATATATAATATTAAAACTTAATTTAATAATAAATACTTTATTTAATTTAATAATTTCAGTATTAGTTATATTAAATTTTTTTTTTGGTATTAAGATAATTTTTTTTAGTCTTTTGACTTTTATTAACAACTTATTAATAATGTGATTTAATAAACTACTACAGAGAGAATATAATTTGTTATACATATAACTTTTCTATATTACCTATTTAAGAAGTCTGTCTAAAGGTTCTCTACCAATTGTTATACCTAATATACTTGTTTGGATATTTTACTTTAAACTTTCTGAACTTGTAACCTGTGTTAACTCACTAGATCATATCCAGATACTCAGATTATTATCTCAATCTTAGAAGTATTTTATCCTTGAAGTAAATCTTTTAGAGTCTTCTATATCTATTTTTATAACTGATCTAGGTATTACTATAGCAGAATCAACAATTGTAATCAGAACTTAATTATTAAATCACTATGCTTTTATAAAGTTTATTTAGATCCTAGCATCTACTTTATAACATAACCTCAGTATTTTAGTATACTTCTGAATTTTGCAAACTCTTAATCCAGATAACCTGTATAGAACTACAACCAGTTCATCAATATATTAGGTTGACCCAATATTCTTTTTTTTTAGTTTGTTTTAGTAGCCTAATTGTTAGTACTTCTGAGACTTTCAATTTAGAGATTCTTGCCTGTTCAGTTACTAAGACCTTGGTATTTATTTCTTTAGCCTTTATAGTAGCATTATCAAAGATCTGATATCTCTCTACTTGGGTTTTCATAAATAGACTTGTTATCCAATTTCAACAAATTTACACAATTACAAGAACTTATCTAGTATTTGTACTGCTAAGTTGTTAGTTTGTATTCCTCTATATAACTCCAATATTGTATAGATGTCCTATAACTTGACAGTCATAATGGTATGAATGCCAATACAGATATTCTAATCTAATCATTAGTAATAATTGTTGTAATACAAATGTTATATAGGTAATTATTCAAATTTTTACTATTGATAAGATTTGAACACCCAATCTACCACTTAGAGAGTTGACAATCTGATCACTTTATTAGGTTATCACAACTTTATTAGTTATATTAATTATATTTAAACTGATTAATTTAATATATAATTTTTTCTTTTTTACAGTTTTGACAATAGCTAAACCTCTATTTTTAGTAATTACTTAATGCTTTCTTTTATCTAAATATTTTTATATCTCTATATCAAACTTTTATATAAATATATTAGAATTAACTACTATATATTTAATTATAAAACTATAGCTACAAAAGACTATAACTTTTTTGCTAATTGATTAAATCATCAACTAATTAAATTCTAAAATATTCTATCTATTTAAGTTAGTTTTTTTTTTTTAAATATTAAGATAAGTACTTGTAATTTAGGATTTTATTGATAGTATATTTGGCTAATAGTTGCATTATAACTATAGAGATTAATCATAAAAAGAGTATACAACTAGTCACTTGTACAACTTTAGTCATTGTCTAATTTAAGTAGTTTGCTCAAAGGTTCTACATTAGCTGCTATATCTAAAACTTGCTTGTAGGTTCTCTATTTAACTATTCTAGTTTCTGTATTTACTTATCTACCTCTGCCTACCAATGATCTCAGCTGATGCTGATAAAAATATGTCATAGTTATTAAGTCTTTAAAGCAGTTCTTTAGAATCTTTAATCTTGTACTAAACCTTCTATAATCTTCTGTATCCTATTCTTATAACTGACTTGGTATCATTATAGTTAAAACCAATACTGATAGTCAGAGTATATTATTAAACTGCTATACTCTTGTAAAGTTCACCTCAAACCTGGTACTAACTTCATAATATATCCTTACTATTTTGGTATTCAATTTAAGTTTCACTAAGCTGCTATTTCAGATAGCCCAGAAAGGTAAATCAAAACTATACATCTTTGGTTTACATATTTGCTAACATGTATTCTTTTTCTCTGAAATCTGAAAATTTTAGCAGCCTGGTTGGTTCATTTGGTCTCTCCTCAAAGACTGACACATTTGCTTGGTTTTATAAATTCTAGCTTCATTTCATAAGTCTAGTCTTTATAGTAGCACTATTGAAAGTTTAGATTATTTCTTTACTTAGATTTTTTAAATAGGCTTTTATCTTTCTTTTTTTGGTTTCTATGATTTATATGATCATATGAACTTATTGTAGATTTGTACCACCTGGTACCAGTTTGCATTTTTTATATAACTACAGACCTTGTTTCAAAAGACAATATCATATGACTGTTACATAAATGCTATATGATCTGCCAGTCATACTAGTGCAATACAGGTAACAGGTATCTTATCACAACCAATTGTAAGAGACAGTTAACTATAATACAGAAAAGATTTTCAAATTTTCTGTTGATACTGATATTTGAACTCTGAACCTGTCACTTTGAGATTGACAACCTGACTACTTTACTAGGTTACTATACCTCTCTATTTAAATTAGTTTTTTTTTTTTTTTAAATATTAAGGTGAGTACTTGTGACCCAGGATTTTATTGATAGTATATTTGGCTAATGATTG